TTTTTCCACAGGAGAAAATCGCCGGATCCCCACCCGCGCGGCAGGTGGGGTATGTGGGAGTTGAACCTCACTAAAAACTCCTGCCGCTCACAACCGGCGCCCTACCTCGGACCGGGCCGGAGCCCAGTCGGGGCTATTGAAACGGCGGGACAGGGTTGACGCAGAGCACATTACATCCATCCCACCGTAAGACTTGTGGCTTAGAGGTCTTTTAGGTTTTTCTGCCTGCAAAAGAAATAAAAACATTTTTTTTCACAGCCCACCTGTTGTTAAGTAGTTACTAGAGCCCATGGACATCTCAAATCAAATCAAAAATTTTTTATTCAACATAAATGAAAGTACATACTTGTTGAACGTCAAAAGAACTACCGCCAATTCACAAGAACTAGCCTCCGTCCTGAGAAGAATTGGCAAGAAACTCAGCGGGCATGTTTTTTTTTTTTTTTATATGAAANAATTTATTATATTATTTATGTCTATTAATTTAAATGCATATTTTTTGGATGTCAAGGTGCAGTTATTATTATCAAAAGCATTATAAATTGCATTATTAATATTAAATCTAATTTTGTTTTCTGTCGGTAAGTCTTGCAAGTAAGGAAAAGTGAACATAATAATTTTTTTAATATTTAACATATTAACTTGTTCAACATAATGCAAAATTTGTTTTTGGTTAACATTTTCTCTCCTCCCTAACATAATTATTATTATTCGTATTATCTACAACGTAAATACCTTGAGATATAAGTTCTAAGATCTCAGTATAGTTACAACGGCTGCCCCACCCTTCAAACCGAAACGCATTACTGCTTCACGGCAGAAATAGGTAGGGCGGTGGTACCTACCCGCGCGGACTCACAAGAGGTCCTACCACCAGTAATTACGCAAATTATAATTTTGCGGGTTTCAATTTTATTACACGATGTTATTCCTTCACCGTGGAAGCCAATCGTGCACATTTGTTGAGTACATAATTCATTAGAAAAATTGGTACCCGCCAGGGATTCGAACACCGGTGCATCGCTCAACACGAATGCACCGGACGTCTTATCCCTTAGGCCACGACGACTTCCAAATATAGTGACTGACTGTTAAAATGAACATTTGTTTCTTTGATATAAGCCGCCGTTCTTTCTGTTTCTCTTCTTTCAGAGCTTTAAAGCTTCTTCCATTACATATAAGGCTTCAGAAGCTTACCTGATTTAGATCATCGTCGGATTCCATAAAATACTATAAAGGAGAACTCAACAGAAGAACAGGTTTTCAAAATCCTTCCTAATATCCTCGAAACCATAAAACTTCGGTAGAACACTACGGAGAGTAAACAATTTTTCTAACTTCGATTTAGTCCTTTCGATAGAGCACTTGCTTCCTAATATGCTCATTTCTAAATATGTCCTTGCTGTAAATAACAGATGTCGAATCATCAAGGTCGGTTTCTGCATATGAATTTTATTTTGAAATTTTGAGGTGATCTTTCAGTTATTGTTTTTCCTTTGTCAAAGATAATAATAAGTTTGTAAGTTATTAAGTTTAATTAGAGTCCGCTGTGGTGTGAGTTTACGTCATTTTTTTGCTAAAATGAATTAAAAGAGCTAACCAATTTGTACATTAATAATTTAAAAAAAACCTTTCCAGTTTTCATGGTTTTTATACATGAGTACATACCACGTATACCTACGCGAAAGGTTTCAGCGATGAAGGAATAATATCGTGGAATAAAAATCAAACTCGAAAAAACATTATTATTTATTGTCATTATTATTAGGGAGTCCAACACTCATATAAAAAATATTAGCCTATCCATTAAGTACATGTATTTTCTACATGGGTACCAAGTTTCAAATCAATCGGATGCATGGTTCAGTAGTTATAACGGAACATCCGTAAAAACCACTGTAGACTTATATATTAGTATAGATTATTTCTACTCACGAAAATCTTTTTTCACGAAATGATTCTGTTTCTTCAGCCATTCCTCCAGAATATCGACGGCCTCATTCATTTTTCTTTCATCGTAACCGTATCGTTTCTGTATATGCTCCATGGAATCTTCGGGAATTTGCAAAAGCTTTTGTTGAAGCGCCGAACTCATTATGTACGTTAGATAAAAAAAATTAAAAAATATATAGTTATTAAGCCAAGAAGACAAACGGTAAGCTGCACGATCAGATCTGCACTAGCGTGCCCATGTACGTACAGTCGTAAATTGTATGCTTGTGTTGTTGATTCCATATAATAGTCATTTGCATGGCAAACATATCGTATTTTTCATTTTTTTAAAGCCTTTGTTATTACAGTGTGCATTGTGTTATTACATTTATTAATGTAACAGCGTTCAAATTTATTTCTAACTAGCTGACTCCCGCGATGCTACCCGCGGTTATTGTCGTACCGCGGGTGACGGCCCGGGGCGAAGCTAGTCTAAAAAAGCCTAAGTTACTCCTTATATCATCAGCTACCTATCAGTGAAAGTCCCGTCAAAATCGGTCCAGCCGTTCCAGAGATTAGCCGGAACAAACAGACAGACAGAAAAACAGATAGACAGACAAAGTTTAAAAAAATATTGTTTTGGTATATGTACATATTTACACATTTAGTAAAAAGGGGTTATTTTATTATTACAAAGAGACTCCAATTTTATTTATTTGTATTGATGACCTTAGCGCAAACCTTTATTTATACGTTTTGGATGGTTAACGATTTGAGCACGCACTTTCGACATTTTTTTTTGCATCAGAATGTAAATATGACCACCCGCTTTAACATAAGGGCTCGAAGTCTGAATTCTATTGTGAGATAGTTGGCCCACCCTTCAAACTGAAAAGTATGACTACTTCCTGGCTGAACTAGGCGAGGTGTTGATATCTACCCGTGTTCACGTAAAATATGCCCTACCACTCTTCTTCGATGTCGCGAAGGCGTTCGAAAAAGTCTGGCACCATGGCTTAATCTACAAACTGTACAACACGGGAGTGCCAGACAGTCTCGTGCTCATCATACGAGACTTCTTGTCGAACCGTTCGTTTCGATATCAAGTAGAGGGAATTCACTCTCTGTCACTAGTTCCCCAAGGTTCCGCTCTCTCCCCGCTGCTTTTCAGTTTGTATAATATAACCCAGGCGCGGGCCACTCAGTTAGCCCTCTTCAGCAATGAAACGGCTACCTAAGAAATAATTAAGAATATGTCGTTCTTCCGCGGCCACTAATCCAGATAGCGGCCACTAATTTAGGTCAGTGGTTCCGAAAGTGGCACATCGGCATAAGCCTAACGGACAGGATAGTTGTATCAAACCAAAAGAGGTCGCTCCTCGATACCACTACTGGTATCTGGTCCAGATTTAAGTGCGATAACTCCATCCATTTATTAAAATCTTTGGCCATACTCCATATCCATGGGCTTCGAGGGCCAAATACGACGTTGCGCAAAACCGCCGTCGCCCAAAACGTTTCTTGTCTAATACCCTAGAACCGTTCTCGGTGCTATTAGGCTCTTCAAGCACCAGTCATCGTTTTCGTCGATTAGGACGAAGAGCTCTGCGTGTGAACTAGCCCATAGACACAAACCACAGAGTTTCTCGCTGGATCTTCGCAGTGGGTCGCGATTGCGATCCGGGGGTAGTTTTAGCGAAGCACTGCTCTTGCTAGGGCCAGTGTTAGCAAGCTCTCTCAGGTTGAGTCCGTGAACTCATCTACCAGTCCGTGAGTAGCTGGAATAGGCTCTTAGGTTATCGGCGATTTTGTAGGGAAAAAAAGCATCATTCTTGGCATGATAGTTAATAGGCTTAAGACTTAAATCCTGATAAATCAGCGCATACGGCTCAGACACTGCTAGATAGCTTATATTCCATCAAACCATTACCGAAGCCGGAAAATGGATAAGCTGAAACGTATACCTACTAAGTAATTGAGAAATTTATCAGTTAAGTGATGACCGGAAAACTATTATATAGAACGCCAGAAATGAGTTTTATTTTAGTTTATTAGTATAGATTCCGGCTTAAACGTGTAATTATGTTAGTTTATTAAACGAACGATAAAATTATGTTTTTCGTACAATTAGCCAGAGTCACGGCGGAGCGGGCCGGTTCTCACTAATTTAAAATAAAATAACGATTCTCACAAAGAGGACATATAACTACAGAACATTTAATATTTTTATAATGTTTCTTCTCTGAGGGCATAACGTTACTTGTTTACATTTAAAACAATGTTTCAGCGTCATTCGGTGACTGAAAAACATCTGATCTAAATCGGCAAAATGTTTTCTTAAATAATTTGATCGATATTTGTTTTAAATATATAAATTATATAATAAATAAATAAATATATAACGGTGCGCGTGCAAGTTGATGCACGTGAATGAAATGAAACTTAAATCAGAATCCTTAAATCAGATTGCTTTTGTAATAAGGGGATGCTGTGTATAAAAGATGCGACATCTTCAACATTTACATTATATACATTTTAAATTATAGATAGAAAAACGAAGAAAAAAAAGAAATTATAGATAGCTCATGGGGCTCAAACCGGGTGTGTTGGTAATACTGGCCCTAGCAAAGGCAGTGATTAGCAGAATCTACCACCGGATCGGAATCGCGACCCACTGAGAAGATCCGGCGAGAAACTCAGTGGGCTGTGTCAATGGGTTAATTTGCACGTCGAGCCCTTCGTCGCAAGCGACGGGTTCGACGAGGACGGTGACCGGTGCTTGAGGTACCTAAAAGCACCGTTAATGGATCGGAAGGATCCGTAATGACGTGCTTTGGGCGACGTCGACTGTTTACCACTCGGTCTACAGGATCGGGTATGAAACGATTATACTTACAGCACCAACTTCCTATTCTGGCTTAGTGACCAGAGATGGATCTTGGCCTCCGAAATGAGATGACTTTTTTTTTATTGCTCAGTAGAGTTGACGAGCTCAGGGCCTAACAGATGTGAAGTGGTTACCGGAGCCTAAAGATACCTACAAGGGAGATGTCGTTACCCACTTTGAGACATAAATTTTAAATTTCAGATTTATAGTCCAACGACTGCCCCATCCCTTAAACCGAAATGCATTACTGCAGCCGAACTAGGCAGGGTTGTGGTACCTTTGCCTTTGTAGGCAGACTAATATACAGCCTACCTAATGGTAAGTGGTTAACGTCGCTCGTGGACGTCAGCAATGCTAGGGGCACCGCCAAGCCGCTGCCTGCCTATAATATAATATATAATACAATATTTGTCCGTCTGAGCATCACCAAAATAATACTTGATTCATATTTATGACATAAAATTATCTCGTTATTTAAAATTTCTTTATTTACATTTATTCACAGTAACCTGAGTTTGCGGCATTTGCACCTGGCCATAGCTAAAAAAATACACCTACACCGTTCACATACATTTTAATTCGAATATATTATTATGATAGCTGTCGGAACACGCAGGCTTAAAAAACAACAAAACGCCGATGCAGTTTTTCTTTGTTTTGTTTTGTCTTAATCAACACTTAATGTTCTGAAAGTTCCCGGCAATCCCATTTCTTCATTTTTCAAATCATCCATTCTATACGCCTCGTTGACCTGTGCTTTGTTTATCTCGCGAAAGAATTCCGAGGTCTCCTTCGAGCTCAACAGGTCGATCCAGTCATCTGAAAAGTAGTAATTAAAAATTGTGAGCCATCTCGGTAGAGCTGACAGATGTGATACATTAATATTATTTTTTACAGTAATAACTAGATGTATAAAAGGATAGTTTACAACAGGAAAAACATGTGGCATAATGAAAATGTTTGCTTCTGTATCTTTACATATAACTAGCGAACCCGGCGAACTTTGTTCCGCCTTAGAGGCAATAAATGAGCAGACTTTTGATCAAGGTCAATTTTTTATTTGGATAATTAATGTAAATTAAAAAAGCAAGTATTTTAATGATTCTTTATTGGCCATGTATTTTAGTTATTATTATTATATTTTCTTGTTCTTCTTCAGTCCTTTCACTCGCAAAGTTTTGAATCCTAGTTGCATTACGGTTTCGTCGGGAAAGATTTGATCGTGTTGGTCGCAGCATGGCTTTGTTAATGATTACCCATCTCGGCACAATAAGCTAATAGAAACTCGAAACAAACACATCAACCGGTCAACTTCAAAATTCTACTATTTTAATTAACCATAAACTATATTACGTTAAGCTGTCAGTTGCGTTTTGTTATTCCATATCTGTTGCGTTTTGTTATACCACATTTTATGTCACATCCCACAGAAACGTGATAAAAAGTACCTTGAAAATGTCCTTCTCCTGATCCTAAGCTACCTCCCCACCAATTTTCAGCCAAATCAGTTCAGCCGTTCTTGAGTTATAAATAGTGTAACTAACACGACTTTCTTTTATATATATAGATTATAATTCTACTGTGCGTATGTCCCTGAACTCCTAAACAGCTGGACCGATTTGAATGAATTTTTTGTATGCGTTTGGGTGGCGCCCTGGATGCTTTAGATTCACAAATCAGCTCGGCAGATGGCGCTGCAGTCGGTATCTAAGTTATTTATCTATAATGCAACTAAACGGCTGGATCGACTTGAATGAATTTTTGTGTATGCATTCATAGGACTTAGTCTGTCGGGTCCGCTAGTCATAAAATTATTATTTAGTATTTAATAAATTAAATTCTCACGCCGAGCCAGTGGGAAGGGAATCGTACGGTCACTTGCGAATGGCGATGCGTCGCCACAACGCACATCCTGCTACATATAGAATGCATATTATTATCTATCTGCTACCATTCTCACTATCTTCTCGATTAGATTCGTAAGTTCGTTCGTGTAAGTTGATATTACTCCATGGCGAAGAACAAAAAAGAACGAAATCGCTTCTTTTTAGCATCTCTCATATTATAGCCCCCATGATAATTTTGAAAAGAAAACATTAACTAAAAATTGAATTTAAACATCATTTATTCAATTTATCAATGTAATACTAGTAATATATAACGGTAATAATAGTAATATATGTGTTATAATATACAGTTGAGGAGTTTTATTTCGTTTCATCGAGTTTGAAATCGCAACGATTCTAAAGAAGTTTCACTTCAATATATTATACTTTTTTACTCACAAAAGTTTCATTTTTACCCCCAAAATTTCATTTTACCCTATTTGGGGTAATTTACCCCGGTTCCCCGACCGCTGGTCTAAGGCTTACTTAAGTAGGTGATGTACACGATTTTTAAGTAATATGTTTCGTAATACTTATTCGAGTACCTTGTATCTCTTTAAGCGATCGTCCAGTCCCCCCCAGCTCTTTTGGTAACATATCCTGAGATATTACTTCGTGTAATGACTCCAACGTTCCGTGAACTCTGAATCTGGCCACCAATTTTGGATTGAATAACGGTGTTATTATTCTCAGCAAATTCTCGACTGCTTTCGATGAAGTTATTATATGGATTCCTTTGAGCCTCGCACCGTAGCCGGACTGTGAAAAAATTGTAAAAAAATATTCTACATTTTCAATAAATGTATAGGTATATAGAATAGGGATCGCAGCGCATAAAATAAAACTTCCACTATTCCAAAATCTTCTGTTATAATAATAATTTAAAATTTAATTAACGCTTTTATTACGCCTTGCTCATTTTTAACCGTATTCGCCATCTTCTTTTTTCTCTGTCATTCTGTCTGTCATTCTCTTCTCCTTTTCTTTCCGTTTTCTCTCACTCACATCTTAACGCTCCGTTTCACACTTTTTTCATACGTTCCGTTCTTACCAATCCTACATATATATGTATTTCATTATTTATCAAATCGCTTTTTTAGAATTAAAGTGGCTTAGACCAAAATTCTTGTTTTTTGGTAAACGCAAAAAATGTAATTGAAGAATTGTAATTATTCAGTTACGATTTTAATAATTTAAACCTTAAAGCGCTTACCTTAAAAAAGGTATATGCTTGATTTAAAAGAGACGGAAAGTGTACTTCGTCTTTTTCTAGGATTAAATTTAAATTTAATTTTGATTTAAAAAGAAAACAATGTAACAGCCTCTCGACGTTGCTAACACTAACCCTAGCAGGAGTAGTGCTTCGCAGAATCTACCACCGAATCGGAAACGCGACCCCCTGAGAAGATGCGTCGAGAAACTAGTGGGCTGTGTCTGTGAGTTAATTTACTCGCCGAGCCCTTCGTCTGAAGCGACGTGTTCGACGAGAACGATGACCGGATAGTTTGTGTGATACAGTCGCATTGTTTAACACGACATCACTCCTCACTACCTCACTCCCCTCCACCTCATTCTTTAGACGACGATGCGTTTGGAATGTGATTTTCGGAATAAACTTTAATGAAGCTTGTACGTGATAAATTTGACATATAACATTTCTGAACATAAAAATGAATGTACTTACTAAAATAAGTGTGGAAAACTCTTTAAACTCTACCAGGTTGACGCGAGCTATTATATTCATAATGTTGATATCCCTGTAGTCAATAACTGCTCTGTATCCGTCCGAGTAATCATACATCCTGAAGTATTCTACATACTAAAAAGGAAAATATTTTTATTAAAAAACTGACGTTGCATCAGTTATGACAGTTTTTTTTAAATTTGGATTTGCAAAGTTTTTTAATACGGCCTACGAATGTACGGAGTATACAGTTTACCCATAATACTTGGAGCCGCTGCGGTCATTCAGTGCGTTTCCAGAGATCTTTTTTGCCACTTAACATCCGGCTTTGGAATGAACTCCCCTGCACGGTGTTTTTACCGAGCGCTTCTTCGAACGAGGCTTGTGGAGAGTACCTAATTGCAGGCAACGGTTTGGCTCAGCACATGGCCTTGCTGCAGTCCATGGGCGACGGTAAACACTCACCATCAGGTGGGCCGTATGCTCGTCTGCCTACAAGGGCAATAAAAAAAAAAGAGTTTTCGGTAATTCTGTTATCTGCATGGCACAGATTAAATGGAATTTTGGAGATAGAGCTTAAGGTTAAGTATTTTTTTTAAAACTTGGGTTACAATGATTTCAGCCTGTCCAATGCTGAACATAGGCCTCTCCAAGTGATCTCCAGTGCGGCCGGTCCGTTGCCACCTGCATCCAACGTGACCGCTTTTTTAATGCTTAGATGGGTGGACAGGCTCACAGGCCACCTGGTGTTAAGTGTTTATTGGAACCCATAGACATCTACAACGTAAATGTACCTACCCGTGCGGACTCACACGAGGTCCTACCACCAGTGATTACGCATGGTATAATTTTGCGGGTTTGATTTTTTTTAAACGATGTTATTCCTTCACCCTTGAAGTCAACCGCGAACATTTGTTAAGTAAGTATTTCATTAAAAAAATTGGTACCAGCCTGCGGTATTCGAACACCGGTGCATCGCTACATACGAATGCACCGGACTTCTTATCCTTTAGGCCACGACGACTTCAAACTAGCTTGGGCCTTGCAAGAGCAATAATAATAATAATAGTTGCAAGCAAACTTACCGCAATAATAATTTTGTAATAATCTAAATATGGAACTTTATCAAAGAACTCGTTTCCAATCACTTTAACTATAAAAAGTCTATTGTTTTCTTTCGTCAATTTAGGCATAGCTAGCATGCTTGTACTGTAACAAAAAACCTGTTATAAAAAATGAAAAAAAAAAGTGTATGTCTTACTCAGGTCGGACTGTCAGACTAACGGTCTACCAGATGTTAACTAGTCACTGTTAATAACATCAAAGAGTTAATAATAACTACATCGAGATGAGTTCAAAAAAATCTCAATTGTGTGTGTTTTTGAAGTGAAAACTTCTTTAGAATCGTTGTGATTTCAAACCGGATGCAACGGAAAAAACGACAGGTAAGAGACACAAATACAAAAATGTGTAGGATGAATGAGACAGAAATATACATACTATTTAATACAGCGCCATCTGGGAGATTTTTTTTAGATTTTTTTTTAGATTAATACTAACGTATGTATGAAAGCTCTTGTAGTGAATTTTAATTTAGGATTATACGTGAAATGAAATATCAATTCATAGAGGGCGCTACCTTACAATTATTTACTAATGACAAAATTTTACATATACTTAAGTCGTTTAGGATAATTGTATTTTAATTTTGGAAGGTTTCACTTCTACCACGTGTGAATTGCACACATGTTTTTTTTTTATTACATGCCTTCCACCTTCAGATATGAGTTCTAAGGCCTCAGTATAGTTACAACGGCTACCCCACCCTTCAAACCGAAACGCATTACTGCTTCACGGCAGACATAGACGGGGTGGTGGTATCTACCCGTGCGGACAAGACGTCCTACCACCAGTAATATTTTTTTTATGTGCAATATATTTAACCGCGCTCACATCCTGCTAATTAGCAGGATGGGAGCGGGTTTATTTGGTCAACGATTATTTCGCGCAAGAAATAGATGATACTATCTACTGCTAATAGCTACTCAAACCTGAATGATTTTATTTGCATAATTTTATAGTAAGAATAAATAATAGTTTAAAAAAACTAACAAAATACGCTTTTATAGAAAATCCAACTAAAAAATACAAAACAATTTTAATAAATTTGAATTGAAAATCGTGTAAGAAAAAAAAAATACTGTAAAAAAGCGTGGCGTGCTTTTTAGGACATTATCAAAATAACCCTTCTACTCATATCTGTTCATAAAATATTTATAACTACTGATACCATGCACCCCACGTTTTTTTACAATAAAATAATTTTTTCTTATACTATTTTTATATCAATTTTATTAAAATTTATTTTCTATTTGTAGTAGGATTTTCTATAAAAGCGTATTTTGTTAGTTTTTTAAACTATTATTTATTTTTCATTTTTTAGTTGAATTTCAATTTTTTTCAATTTTTTTTAATATTGAATTGTCATCGGTCCTTAATAAGTATACCAAATTTCGAGTTAATCAGACATTTTGAAGGGGGTCAAAATCATGTTCAAAGATTCCGTTACAAACTTATATACTAACATACATACGCCTGAAGATAATAAAACCGTATTAAAAACATTCAATATATTAAAACTGAATGTTGTAAAACTGAAATTCTAACGGTTCTTTTGAGAATATGTCGTCGTCGTGGCCTAAAGGATAAGACGTCCGGTGCATTCGTGTTGAGCGATGCACCGGTGTTCGAATCTCAGGCGGGTACCAATTTTTCTAATGAAATACGTACTCAACAAATGTTCACGATTGACTTTCACGGTGAAGGAATAACATCAATAAAAATCAAACCCGCAAAATTATAATTTGCGTAATTACTGGTGGTAGGAACTCTTGTGTCATATTCTCCGAACTGTTTGGTACGACTAACTTGCCTATTTCTGTCGCGAGACAGTCGTGGTCCTAGTTCGCGCTAGTACTTCTGAGGGCGTAACAAAATCGAGTCATATCTCAAGGTTGCATTCACGTTTTTATGTTTACGAAATTCGATAAACACGTAACATCATCAAGTTGGCCGCGTGCTCGACTCGCTCATAATGTGATAATAACATATACGATACATAAATAAATCTTTAATAGTGACGAACATAAAGATGCACTTCTGTAGTTATAACAGCTGTGCAAATTTAAATGTAGTTAATAAAGTTTATACAAAATAAATACATACCACGAGAACAGGTTTTTAAACTCATTTCTGATATCATTGAATTCATAAAACTTCCGTAGAACAGTCCGGAGAGCGAACAACTTGTCCAGTTTTGATTTAGTTCTCTCGATAGAACCTTTGCTTCCTATTATATTCGTCTCCAAGTATATTCTTGCTGCAAAATTGTATAAGTTTTTCTTAGGACGGTAGAATGTTTCGAATTGTCGCGGGTATCTACGTTAAAAACACTATTGCTTATCGAGTACATACTGAGAAATTTTTATTTCAATAAGTTCACGATATTTTGGAGCTGTTTCAAATGTCACACGCACGTGTAGACCAGGG